ACCAGCTGCGAGTCAAGGCTTCTGGAACTTCTGACTGACTGGCTTCAAGTTGGGGTTCCCATGAGCACCTCTTGGGGTTAATTTGCTAGAGTAGCTCACAGAACTCAGGGAAACACTTACATTTACTGGTTTATCACAAAGGCTATTTTAAGGATATAAGTAAACAGCCAGATGCAGAGGTCCATAGGGCGATTTGCAGGAGCTTCGGTCCCCATGGAGTTGGGCTGCGCCATCCTCCCAGCATGTGGATGAGTTCTTCACTTCCTGTCAGCCCCTACATGCTCAGCTCTCTGGAAGCTCCCCAAACCCTGTCCTTTTGGGCTTTTATGGAGGCTTCGCTACATAGGCATGATTGAGAACCATGTAGAAATGTGATTGGACAAAAAGCACCTGATCTGAACCCAGCAAGCCTGTCTGTTCAGATTTTTTTGGCATTCTTTTCTCTGTGTGGCTTTCTTTCCCCTAGGGTACGGGGCAGGAATGAGGGTCTTTTGGAATGAGGGCTTTTGACCACAATCAGAGTCCTGCCTTGGACAGGTAAAAGGAGGATAGAAGGTCAGAAAGAGAGAGAGAGATTCTGTTTCCCGAGGCCAGAAGTGCCCCAACATTATAACAAGGACTATGGGAGTTAGGAGCCAGGAATTGTGGATGGAAACCAATAAATACACAGATATATCCTAACACCTTAACCACACAGCAAAAAAAGAGGCAAATGCAGCATTCTTTCCAATGAACACACTGTTTTTCCAAGGTCATCTGTGAAGCCTACCACAAACTCCTCCACTAATCCCAATAATTCAATATTGATTGTTCATCTCTAGCAGAGAATGATACATCTGTCGTCAAGGGTTCTCACCTTCAGAGAAGCCACGAAACACGAGCCACAGCCTGACTTAACTGTCCTTTTCCTCTCCAGAGTACAGTCAGTGCTCTGTGGCTGAGATATGTGGTCACTAAACTGACTGTGTGAGTCAAATAGTGTGTGTTTGTCAGTATTTTCACATGTGGGACAACACTGTCAGGAAGTCGTCACCTGGGGAGGAGTCACGGATGACACAGAAGCTCCTCAACGTCAGCCCAGCTCTTGACAGCTGGATTTATCCTTTCCTCCTTCTCCATCCATAGCAGTGATCTCCAGGAATGAGAACGGAAGGTCATGTCCTGTAAATTACTATTACAGGTGAGAATTACACCCAGAGACATTTTTACATATTAGTTGGTGTACCACTTTAAAAAAGAATTACTGTGGTAACCCACAGCAGAAAAGGAAACTGATGAAACAAGTGAACTCTTTCCTTATACTACACTGATTACCATTATGAAAACTAATTATGTAACAGATTTTCACAAGGCAATTGACATACGTATCCTCAGCCTATTTTCATTCCCTCCTTTTACAGATGAGAAGGTAGGCTCAATGCCTTGCCTTATAATTGGCAGAGCTGGATGTAGATTTGTTTCTGGCGGGTGGCAAAGCCTGCATTGTGTTCACAGTTCTATGGGGCCTCCTGCTCAGGAGGGTGTTTTCTTGCTATGAGAGCTGCCCTGTCCCCCACTGTCCCCCTCCGTTTGAGTAACTTCCCTAGGAATGTGAAGAGTGGGGTAGTCATCCCTCTGTCTCTACAGTTGCTTCTAAAAAGCATTGCTGATTTGCCACAAAAAGGAATGAAGTACAGGCGACAACATAGTCAAACCTCAAAAACATTGTGTTAAGTGAAAGCTTCTATTTATATAAAATATCCAGAATAGGCTGGGCTCTGTGTCTTCTGCCTATAATCCCAGCATTTTGGGAAGCCAAGTGGGAGGATTGCTTGAGCCCAGGCATTCAAGACTAGCCTGGGCAATGTAGTGAGACCCTGTCTCTAAAAAAAAAAAATCCTTAACAGACAAATACATAGAGACAGAAAATAGATTAGTGATTGCCTCTGACTGTACGTGTCGTGGGGGTGGGGGTGGAAATGGGGAGATGAGGAGGTAAAAGGGGTATAGGAATTCTTTCTAGGGTAATGAGAATGTTCTAAAATGGATTGTGGTGATGGCTGCACAATTCTAAATATAGTGAAAGCAATTGAATTGTATACCTTAAATGAGTAAATTGTGTATGGTGTGGTAATTATATCTCATTAAAGCTGTAAAAGAGCTGGGCATGGAGGCTCAAGCCTCTAGTCCCAGCTACTCAGGAGGCTGAGGTGGGGGGATGGCTTGAGCCCAGGAGTTCAAGACCAGCCTTGGGCTGGTGTTAAATCTGAGTTTTAAAAAATACCAGTTGATATCAATTCCTCAATCACCAAATGTACTTGTAACCTAATCTGGAATGGAGGTATCTCTGTGCTATCTAGCAGATGAATTTTCTTCCTGTGCTGTGCAACTAATTTGCCAGCTATGCTGAGAGGGGTTTACTATGCTCTGAAATACCACACTTATTAACTGGAGCCCCATGTCATCCAGCCTCTGCACAGCTAAGTTTAAGAAATTCTACAACCAAAAATAACTGGAAATGTAAGTCATTTGTTAAATAATGTCAAAAGGACCCAATTCACAACCACAATGCATAGTTTCTGAAAAATCTTCAGTTTGGCCTCTCTTGCTGAGTCTTCCATACCTGTCCCAGCGGGTATGTCTCACAAACCTGTCTCCCATCTCATGTGTTCTGTCCCACACCCAAGCAGTTTTCTCTCTTTTTGATGCTACCATATCACTTCTTCAACTTTACGGCTTTTTCTACCCATCACGTGAATTAATTGAACTTCAGGTTTAAGCACGAGGTTGCTTCCTGCACACACTCTCCCTGAGGAAGGGAAGGCAGTGTATTCCCCTACATTAACTTACTTAACGCTGATATTTATAGAGTGTAGGTGCTTTATGAAGGGCCAGTTTGGGAACACTTTTTGGGAAATACAGTTCCCACCATATTTCTAAACAGAACATCTTGAGATTAAGGAAATACTGTGGGAACTTCTAAAGCAGCAGGAGCGATCTCAAAAGAAAGCACTAGAGGCATTTGTGAGCAGAATGCTCCAAGGGCAGCATCCACCAAGCAAGGGGGGCCTCATGGGCCAAGATCTGTTCTTCACACAAGGCCCTGATCCCAGAAGGGTGCTGTCTTTTTATTATTTCTTTTGAGGTGGAGTCTCGCTCTGTCGCCCAGGCTGGAGTTCAGTGGCGCCATCTTGGCTCACTGCAACCTCCGCCTCCCAGGTCCCGGTTCAAGCAATTCTCCTGCCTCAGCCTGTGGAGTTGCTGGGATTACAGGAATGAGCCACCATGCCTAGCTAATTTTTGTATTTTTAGTAGAGACAGGGTTTCACCATGTTGGCCAGGATGGTCTTGAACTCCTGACCTTGTGATCCACCCGCCTCAGCCTCCCAAAGTGCTGGGATTACAGGCGTGAGCCACTACGCCGGGCCGGGTGCCGTCTTTGGTTTAATGCTCTGATGTCACCATCTTAAAATCCTTAATCCTATTTGCACAAAGAATCTCTCGGTTTCATCTTGAGCTGGGCCCTGCAAATTCGGTTGCCCATCCTGCTACTGTGGCAAGGGTCCTCAAACATCACTGGCCCTGCACTCCCTCCTTCTCCCTCTACTCACTTCTGCTCATCAGGAGGTTTTAGGTGTTGGTGAGACCTTGAACTGTCCTCGGGGAACTTGTCTCTGACAACTCGCCTCTCAGGGTATCTGAGACAATCTGAAAAAGTGGGAAGAAATAGGGAGGAACTATTTCTAAATGGGTAAGAAGCTGCTACCGACACTCATATGGAAAGGGGTGTCCCCTTTGGCAATACAGCTATGGTTGCTTTAATTTGGCCTCTCCTACCCAGAGCTTAGCTCAGGTGTCTGTTTTGGGGCACTCAGCATCCCTGGATTCAGCATTTGCAGTCCCTAGCCGCCCCTTCCCTGTTCAGGCTAACCACATTGCAGTGTGGTTCTTTTCTTTCTCTGAGCTCTGTGGTGTGGGAGAACAGCCGCCATTGTGAAGTGGACGCTACTGTGTAGACAGAGCTAAATGCCCTTTCGAAGCTTGGGGCTCCACAAAGGAGAGGTCTGGTCAAGTGGAGCCAGCTTGTATCTGCCGGTAGTGTGGAAAGGAAAGCGCTCTCTGGATTCATACCAACCTGCGCCCTCAGGGGTGGCTCATATCTGTGCAAGCTGTGTCCTGCAAAGCTCCAGTGGTGTCTTACACTGTCAGGCTGCCAACCTGCACAGCCCTGAAGGACAGCCACAAGGCGGCTGCCACTTGAGCTGTGTGATCTTGAGCAAGTTGTTGAACCTCTCTGAGTCTCAGGTTCTGCATCTGTAAAATGTAGGAGACATTAGTAACTATCCTTTAAGTAGCTTCAAAGAGATTAAGTGAAATAATATTTCTGGTGACTAAGCAAGTGTTTAGTGCCTGCCTTCCCCTGGGGCACCCACCTGCTGCTCAGAAGGAGCAGTCATATCCTGATTTCAAAATATCTCCTACCTGGACATCATTTCAACAGAACCAACCTGTTTTTTGGAGGCAAAGAGATGTACACGCTTTTTGGAGCACAGTATGAAAAGACTTTAAGAAGAGAAAGGAAGGAGAATGAGAGGAGGTGGCACTAACCATAGGCTCATGGGATGCTTCCCTCTCTGTTGGAGCTCTGGCTGCCCTGGGATCTGCCTAGGACAATAGGATTCATGGTTCTGAATCAGGGCACCCCCCACCCCCCTGCAGTGTCTGCAGACTTTCTGATTGTCACGCATGGAGGGGCGGGGGTGCTATTGTCATCTGGTGGGTAGAGGCCAGGGATGCAGCTAAATGTCCTGCAATGCACAGGGCATCCCCGAAACACAGAAGGATCCAGCCCACCTACCAGCAGCACCACGGCCTGGAAAGGCTGCCCAGACCTTCAGTCTGTCCACCAGCCAGCACACAATGAGCTGCCGGGACGGCACCCTGTGGTTTCTGGAATTCCTAAGAAGGCCCGAGAAATCCCAGAACAAATGGTGATGTCGGGGATTTTTTTTTTCAGATTCATGTGGCATGAAAGGATGACAGACTCCGAAGCGCCCCAGAGGCCCCTGCTGTGTTTTTTGTCTACATTGCTTTCCCAGAAGGTTCCTGAGAAGTCAGACGCTGTGCTTCGCTGCATAATATCTGGTAACCATCACTAGACTAGCTAATCATCCTCTAAAATCTCCCTGCATACCAGGTTTCTTGGCTCACAAAGGCATTACTAAAACATCATTTGGGAAAATTACCTTGGAAATTTTTTGTTTTTTTTTTTTTTTTTTTTTTCTGTGTAATCAATGAAGCAACTCCATCCTCTATGATTTGTTTCTAAAAGATTTCTTTGAGTGACTTCCTGGACACAATTCAGTGATCTTCACTTCACCTTGTGGTTCTGAGTTAGGCAGCTCTCACACTGGTTATTTTTTTTCAGATAATCCACTCTTAATTTTCTTTCTTTCTTGGGTGTCCTTAACCATAGCTTAAATTCATGGGGCACAGAAGAATGACATGAATAACTTCTTTTCAGTAAATTGATGGAACTCTTCTGTTATTCTTTAATTTTTTTTTTTTTTTTTGGAGATGGAGTCTCTGTCACCCAGGCTGGAGTGCAGTGGCATGATCTTCGCTCACTGCCACCCCCGTCTCCTGGGTTCAAGCAATTCTCCCGCCTCAGCGTCCTGAGTAGCTGGGACTACAGGCACCCGCCACCGCACCTGGCTAATTTTTTTTTTGTTTTTTTTTTTGAGACAGAGTCTCGCTCTGTTGCCAGGCTGGAGTGCGATGACATGATCTCGGCTCACTGCAACCTCTGCCTCCTGGTTTCAAGTGATTCTCCCACCTCAGTTTCCCAAGGAGCTGAGATTACAGGTGCCCGCCACTACACCCGGCTAATTTTTGTATTTTAGTAGAGATGGGGTTTCACCATATTGGTCAGGCTGGTCTCGAACTCCTGACCTCAGGTGATCTGCCCACCTCGGCCTCCCAAAGTGCTGGGATTACAGATATGAGCCACTGCGCCTGACTCGCCTGGCTAATTTTTATATTTTTAATAGAGATGGGGTTTCACCATGTTGGCCAGGATGGTTTCGATCTCTTGACCTCATGATCTGTCTGCCTTGGCCTCCCAAAGTGCTGGAATTACAGGTGTGAGCCACTGTGCCTGGCCCTAATTGATATCTTAAAACTGGTTAAATTAGTCTCTCCTCTGCACACCTTCTTCAGGGATGCTAAGAAGTGAAAATCTTAAAACGGAGGCAATGGGTGACCAGTGGAGAAAAAGCAGAGAACTGAGATTTCCCCTGAATTGGAGAATAAAGAACTCAGAATTGATCAAGTATGGGTACTCCCAGTGGTCAAAGGATTTATCATTAAAAGAACATAACATAAAACAATTGGGTAGGAAAGTGGTATCTTGTACCTCATGGGTGGTTCTCTTTCCTTTTTTGGATTATGTCTCTACCCTTGAAAACATGAAGGTTCCAATGGTGTTTCTTGAGGGCAGACAGAAAACTCTTCTCCCCGTTTTTTTTTTTTGAGACAGGGTCTCTCTTGCTCTGTTGCCCAGGCTGGAGCGCAGTGGCACAATCTCAGCTGACCGCAACCTCCGCCTTCCAGGTTCAGGTGATTCTCGCGCCTCAGCCTCCTGAGTGGCTGGGATTCCAGATGCATACCACCATGCCCAGTTCATTTTTGTATTTTTAGTAGAGATGGGGTTTCGCTATGCTTGCCAGGTTGGTCTCTTATCCTATTTTTCTAAGTCCAGATAGGAGAGGGGTGAGCCTCAGCAACGGCTGTCTTTCGCTAGCAGAAGTCGTCATAAAACCTCGATTTCAGCCTGGAACTGCAGTGTAGAACTGCGCTTGGCCTCTCCAAGCCCAGGCTTCTGTCTCTGTGATGGTCCATTGTCATTCAGACAGACAGAATGGTGCAAGCTGACCTTGAGTCTTCAGAGCAGAGCCTTTGTGTGTTTGGACACGCCCTGAACTTGGCTGTGGTCCCCTCGCCCAGATACTTCTGAAATGTTTAGGAGGTGGCTCTCAATATGTGACCCACAGTAGGTTCCAAAAACAAGGGGAGGACTTTCAGGTAAGATTTCCAGCAAGTGGCAGGAGAAAAGAGAACCACCCACAAGATACCAGATACCACTTCCCTGTGCAAGTCTCATTTCTGGCTGATTGTTCAGATCTATACTGCACAGGGGAAAAAAACAGTCAGCCATTAGGAAACTGGGGGAAATCAATCAGCCCTCATCAGCCTGAATGAAAAACTGGAATCCAAGAGATCAGAATGAGTTCCCAGGCCCACCTCATGAATATTTTATGTATTTTCTTCAAAACAGCCACATACCCACGAAAAGGAGGAATTGACTGCTTCCTATAAAGGAGTGTGATGAAACAGTGTTAAAGGGGGACACAGGATGGATAAGAACAGGCAGAAATGAATTATGATCAGAAACACCTTGATGGTTTTTCAGGGAAGCCCATTTTTTGGTGTTTTTTTATAGGCAAATGCCCGTAAGAGGCTCAGCCACGCAGCTGCTGGAGGACCTATCCTTGCATGCAGGTCTATCTGTTCCAAGCCCCAGGGTCACTACTCAGGCATTTACCTGAAGGAGAAGGCAAGGAGGAAAAATCCACAGTTGCCAAAAAAAAAAGCACATTTCATGGCATGAGCACAGCGGCAGCCTAGCTGGGAGACACAGAGAGGGAGGGAGGGAGGAGGACTAGCATTTTCAGGTCCTGCTCACGGTGCAGGTGCAGTTCTAATGGACTTTTTCTTCCCTCTGTACTTCTTTTGTCTTTCCTCTTTCCATGGAGTTCCCTTTTCTTTCTTTCTTTTTTTTTTTTTTTTTTGAGACAGTGTCTCACTCTGTCTCCCAGGCTGGAGTGCAGTGGCACAATCATGATTACAGCTCCCTTCAGCCTCGACCACACAGGCTCAGGTCATCCTCCTGTCTTAGCCTCCTGGGTAGCTGAGACTACAGGTGCACACCATCACACCCAAATAACTTTTGTATTTTTTGTAGAGATGAGGTTTTGCCATGTTGCCCAGACTGGTCTTAAACACCTAGACTCGAGTGATCCACCCATCTGCCTCAGCCTCCCAAAGTGCTGGGATTATAGGCATGAGCCACCGTGCCTGGCCAGAACATGGGGTCCTCATCTTAGTGGTCTCTGCAGTTGCTTGCCAAAAATCATGCAATAAATAAGACAAAAATACAAGAATGTTCCTAAGACAGATTAAGAATGGTATATTGTTTCCAAATACCAGGCTTTCCTTCCTGCATATATAGCACATTTCCACATATTTTCAGTGACATGAAGGCTAATGAGAAAGCTCTTTGGAACACAATGGAAACCTTCCTGCTCTATAACACGAGGGAAAAATCCTAAGGGGTGGATGAAATTCCTGGAGGTTTTACCGGATTAGCCCATTAACATCATGTCCCATTACTGAACACCAGGAAAAGATGAATCTCTTCTAAGGGAGAAAGTGTAGGTCAATTTCTTTGACGATATCAGTAACATATGCATAGCATCAGTCTGGGAAGCCTACATTCCAAACTCTTCATCCTCAGGAAGAAAGCGGTAATTGCAAATCTACTTTGTTCTCCTCTCTTTTGTACCATAACTAACACACTAACTTTCAGCACTATTAAAGTATAATTTTCAAAAAGGTAAAGTGATTCCCATGCAGATAAGAAATACACATTTTAAAGACTTTATTCAACTCATTAATTAGAAAAGAAACCGGAAACTATTAAGGTCTGAGGAGCTAGGTATGTATAGGTAATTTAATAAAGGAATGTTGGGGTAAAACTGCTAGGTTAGGTGTAGCATTGGTTAATGTCCTACACAGCAATAAACGCTAACTTACAGGGTTATGTTTTCTCCTAGATGGAAATTATTTGCATTTCTATTGGATAAAAACCTACAAATTAACATATAACTTCACTTTAAATCAGTAGTTATCACTGAGTGAAACAAAGTATATGACCGAAGACCACGCTTGGATGGGCCTTTGCCTTCATATGACATTGAAAAAAGATACTATTCATATCTTTGCCTTATTTCCAAGTATTGGACAATTTTTCCTAATAGCACGTTGAGATTAGGGGTAGCATTTTTCATTTTGTATCCCACCCATCAGCACAGCACCATCTTAGGTACATAACATGCTCAATTGTGTCTACTGAATAATGTGTTTATTTGTATCAGCAAGAAGAAGCCTTTTCAATTCCTCACCTAACATAATCCATCATCCTCATCCCTGTTGCTTACTGTCCATCCTTGTTCATAGCTTTATGGGTTTTTTTTCCCTAAAAATACCTAAACTAATAAGGATATTTTTCTTTCTTTATCGTCAGGTCAGCCCAAGCCAGAGGTAACTTGGTATAAGAATGGTCAAGCCATGGATGAGAGTGGCATTGTTTCCAGCTATGAATTCTTTAAGAATCAGTATATTCATGTGTTACATCTCTCTTGGTAAGTGGCTATACCCCTGTGGACTGTTTATTAATATCCCTATATTCTGTCATGTGCTGGTTACTATGAGGTAAGGCCAAAAGATGGCTCATATTTGCTTCTAGAGTCCTAATTTTAGATGCTATTAGCAGGCATCAGCCAAAGCACCCAGCAATGACGATTTCCTGAACTCTGTTCAGTAACTAATTATACTCCCCTAATTTGCTGCTGTCAATGGAGTTAAGCTTTATCTAGAATTTTATTCAAGGTGATCCAGCCACTGCCATCCATTAAATAAGTTTTTCATTTCATCTTGATCTCTCTGGAAAGTAAAGAAAGTGTGATAGGATCTCAGTATTGTTGTCCAACCTTCCATGGGTAGGAAGGAAGGAGAAGTGGCTGACAGTGATCCCACAGCACCTTGGTGGTGGAGTTCAGGCTGGAAGCCATACCCCCTGGCTTTGTTTTAGGAGGTAGTATGGTCCAGTACAGTGATTTCAAATTCTTTTTTGTTCTTCCAAGAGCTCTTGTTTGGATAAAACCAGGAAACTCAATAGGTAAGGGAGAGAAAATGAGAGCTGCTCAGGGTGAGGCTAGGTAGGGAGTCTGTGCTTTTGATCCTCAATGCTACTAAATTGGTCACAGTGCCCTTATGGGGGCTGTGAGGAGCCTGAGAGTTCTTGAAAGCATGGTATGAAAATGAGTGGTAGGCGTGGAAGTGTGCTGATAGCCTTGAGTCTGAGATTTAAAAAAAGACTTGTTGAGTTCCAGCTCTGCCATTTTCTTGCTGTATAACCTTGGCCAGTTGCTTAACCTCTCTGAAACTCAATTTCATCAACTGTAAAGCAAAAGGATGACAGAGAGAGTTAAAGAATGTAATGCTTGTAGAAGTTTCATTACAGAGGAGTTGATCATAAGCATGAAGGCCTTCTTATCTCCCATCTATTACTTTGTTTAAAGTAACAGGCTGAGCGTGGTGGTGGCTCACGCCTGCAATCTCAGCACGTTGGGAGGGTGAGGCAGGAGGATTGCTTGAGGCCAGGAGTTTGAGATAAGCCTAAGCAACAGAGTGAGACTTCATCTCTACAAAAAAAAAAAAAAATGGAAAAATTGGCTGGGCATGGTGGCTTATGCCTGTAGTCCCAGTTACTCGAGAGGCTAGGTTGGAGGAACTGCTGGAGCCCAGGAGTTCGTGGCTGCAGTCAGCTATGATTGCACCACTGCACTCCAGCTTGGGTGACAGAGTGAAATCCTGTCACAAAAATAAGTAAATATGTAAATAAACAATAAACATCAGACATTATTTTACCATGGTTGAAATGCTTACCTGACTTACAGCATATCTAGCCTAACATTTAAGATACCCATTACTCATCTATTCTTTAATTCTTTAGATAATATTCTTCAGGCACCTACATATGCCAGGCATTTTGCTTAATGCTAGAGATGGAAGTAAATAAATAACACAAGCATCGTCCACACCCTTACAAAACATCAACTCTGGTATGGACGTTCAGTGGTGAACAAAGAAAGCCATTCTTCCCCTTACCACTCCAGTGTACCTGGGAGGCAGCCAGACTGGCGTTTGCTGGCCCTTGACCATGGCCTGGACTTTCCTACTTCTTCATTCCAACCTTATCAAAGTCTCCCCTTCCTCATCTTTATCCCATTCAGCTTAGAAACCACCCATGAGGTTCACAGGTGAGATTCCAGTTACCCATGGGTCTGTCCAGCCTCAAACATTCTCATCTCCTTTGATCTTGATGAACAGGCCTCTCTTTTGGTGGTTATTCATTGCTCAGGATTGATGACAAGTTCAGTAGACTGTGGGCCTCACAGGGCGCAGGAGCCCTCTCTGACTCACACAAACATCCCCTAGAACCTGGCCCAGTGCCTGCAACGTAAATATTTGTTGAAAGATTGATGGAGACATCCATCTATTTATCTATCTATCTATCTATCTATCTAGCTCCCTTTTTCTATCTATTGTTTTTGTGGTTGGTTTATCTAGATCAATATTAGCAAACATTTTTCTAAAAGGGGCAGCCTTTGCAGGCCAGATGCAAAAATAGGCCACAACTATTTACGTCTGTCATAGATAATATGCTTTTTTTTTTTTTTTAAAAAAAAGAGCATAGTTGTGTACCAATAAAACTTTATTTATAAAAACAGGTGAGGGAACAGATTTGGCCTGTGGGCTATAGTTTTCCTACCCTGGTAATATCCTTGAGGATCTACACGCTGAACCTCTTTGTATGTTTCCCACCCTTGCTTATTTGCCTCTGAGCATTCAACGCATATTTCCTAATTTTACTCTCACAGTAAACCAAAATATTATACCCACATTTTAGCCAGAAGAGAAGCTTGACATGTGTTCTTTTAAGAACTGAGATTTGCTATGACTGTTTTATGTTCCATATACAGGATGAGGGTATAAAGGGATGGAGGAATAAGAAGCCCATGAGGAAGCCCCAGAGGCAGGTGGGCAAGTCAAAGCAGGAGGTATACAAAGCAGGAGAAACTTGGGAAGGGAACTTGCCCTGTGGAAGGTTCAGGCAGTCACCATTCCCTGCTCTGAGATCCGGCACCATAAAAATTGAGGATTTGACACAACAGAATCCACTCTTTCCAAGCTCCTGGGCTGCCATTTTGAAAAATAACCCATCTACTCGGAAAAGCATTCAGTCGTAATGCAAGAAATGTTGGTAGAGCCCTATAGTAGATGTGGTCACGTTTTGCTGCTTACTAGTAAGTATTCTGGGCACTAATGATCATGGAAAGTTCTGACTTTTTATACCAGTAGTTCTGAATTCTAGCTGCCCATTAGTATCACCTGGGGAGCCTTTAAAGTCCACTGATGCTTGGGCTTCGCTCTTGACCAATTAAATCAGAATCCCAGGTGATTCCAGTGTTTTGCCAAAAATGAGACACGCTGTATGTCCTAAACATTCATCTGCAAAGTAATTTGACTTATACCAGTATGTTAAATGCTGGTGAGGAAAATGAATGGTATTTTGTGCAAATGTCTTTCAAAGATTAAAAGTTAGTTGTTAGTTATAATATTAGTCTCAAAATTTCCTGGTATACACCGTCAACCACTGGATTAGCTCATAGCCCAAAGAAAAGTACTTTTCTTCACCTACATTTGGTCTTTGGGTCATTAAATCCAAGCTTTTAGATATTTGAAAGCTCCTGTTTCTGTGTTTCCCAAGGGCTTTTTTTTGGTTTAACACATCTAATCTGCAGTTCTGCTTGGAGGCTAAGAGCCCTGCAGTTGTATTTATGAACCTTTTGATTTTCTCTCTTTCCTCTATCTTCCCTGCGTTCTCCTCCTCATGCCGTCCTCATCTCATGAACCTGGGCACTTCAGGCGAGTGAGACGGCGGGGAAGAGATTTATCATTGCTGTTGTAACCTTTACATTACCACGGGTCAAGTGTGCTTGGCAGGGAAGAGAAATGGAAAGCCAAGAAGGCATTTCCAGGGAGAGAAACATCAATAATCACATTATGGTATGCACTGTAGCTTGAAATAGAGTTTGTTTGTTTTTTTTTTTTTCCCTAAAAGATGTAGGAGTTGAGGGGTGGGGAGGAAAATACAAATAGATGTTTTCTACCTCATAATGAAAGCAAATTGCAACGATGTGTATATAAATGGGGGAATTGTGGTCTCTTATGAACACAATGTAAAGAAAGGCAGCAAAGCAACAGATAAAAATCTGTCCAGGAACCCGCACTTAGATATACCCTCTCCTCAGCAGGGAGGCCTCCTTTGATGGTTGCAATCACACGGCTGTGCTGAGAGCCAGCAGGAGGGAGGTGGAAGGAAGGGGAAGGGGGCGGAGGACACCCGGGAGCAGCAAAGCTCCGCCCCTGCCTGGGTGAAAGGGGGACAAAGCGGCCCCTCTGCTCTGTCATCAACTCTGCCCTAGCATCAGCTGGGCTGGGGACAGGTCTGTAGAGCACTGGGCAGGGACAATGACCAGGAGAATGGCACAGTCACCACAAGCCAATCAGCTCATGGAGTGTATACACGGTTGAATAGTGTCCCCCAAATCCATGTCTGCCTGGAGCCTCAGAATGCGACCTTATTTAGAAACAGGATTTCTGCAGGTATAATTAGTGAAGGAGTTCATATTGGATTAGGTTGTTGGATTGTTACGGAAAAGGGGTTCCAGTCCAGACCCCAAGAGAGGGTTCTTGAATCTCACACAGGAAAGAATTTGGGGCAAGTTCATAGAGTAAGTGAGAGCAAGTTTATCAAGAAAGTAAAAGAATGGCAGAGCAGCGGTGTGGCCTACTCGCCTGTGTATACTTATTATTGATTATATGCTACACAAAGAATGGATAATTTATGAGTTTTCTGGGAAAAGAGCAGAGATTTCCTGGTCTCTCCTATTTTTAGATCATATAGGGTAACTTCCAAATGTTGCCATGGCATGGGTAAACTGTCATGGTGCTGGGGAGAGTGTCTTTTGGCACCTAACACATTATAATTAGCATATGAGCCATGAGGGCAACCAGAGGTCACTTTCATTGCCATCTTGGTTTTCGTGGGCTTTGGCTACTTCTTCACTGCATCCTGTTTTATCAGCAGGGTCTTTGTGACCTGTATTTTGTGCCTCCTGTCTCATCCTGTGACTAAGAATGCCTAACCTCCTGGGAATGCAGTCCAGTAGGTCTCAGCCTTAGTTTACCCAGCCCCTATTCAAGCTGGAGTCACTTTGGTTCAAACACCTCTGACAGGGTGGGTCCTAATTCAATGACTGGTATCCTTTTAAAAAGGGAAAACAGAGCCACAGAGACACACAGAGAAACAATGGCGGTGGGAAGACAGAGACAGAGATCGGGGGATGCAATAGCAAGCAGAGACATGCCAAAAATTGCCAGCAGCCACCAAAAACTAGGAAGGGGCAAGAGAAGAGTCTTCCCTGGAACCTTCAAGGGACCATGGCTTGATGACAACTTGATTTTAGACTTTTTGGACACGAGAACTGTGAAAGAATAAATTTCTGTTGCTTTT